TCCAAGGTCTCCCTGGAGCCTTCTCCTCTCCAGGCTGAACACCCCAACTCTCCCAGCCTGTCTCCAGAGCTGCTCCAGCCCTTGGATCATCTCCATGGCTTCCTCTGGACTCCCTCCAGAAGCCCCATGTCCTTCTTGTGTTGGGGGCTTCAGAACTGGCCCCAGTTCTCCAGGAGGTCTCATCAGAGCAGAGGAGACAATCTCCTCCCTGACCTGCTGCCCACACTGCTGGTGACACAGCCCAGGATACAGTTGGCTCTGATGGATCATGTTGAAGTTCTCCTCACCCACCACCCCCTAAGCTCTTTAGAGCAGCCCAGGCCACAGTTGGATCTGATGGGTCACGTTGAGGTTCTCCTCACCCAACACCCCCAAAGTTCTTTAGATGCAGCCCAGGCCACAGCTGACATTCATGGGTCTTGTTGAGGTTCTCCTCACCCAACTCCCCCAAAGTTCTTCAGAGCAGCCCAGGCCACAGTTGGATCTGATGGATCACCTTGAGCTTCTCACCCACCACCCCCAAGCCCTTCTCCTCAGGGCTGCCCCCTCAGCCACCATTTTATTTTCAGCCCCCTCCCCTTCACCCTTACCCAGGGCCACCACCTCATGAGCTGGGACACCTGGGGGACCCACCTGAGGCCAGTTCCCCCCCGAAGATCACAGCTTTGGCCCCCGAGGTGGTCACACAGTAAACCAGGGAATCCAAACGCAGGTTGAAGTTGATCAGAGCCGCCTCGACGCCGATCTTGGCCATTCCCAACCAGAGCCCAACGAACTCGGGGCGACTCTCCATGAAGATGGCAATGACATCCCCCAGGTGGAAGCCTTCCTGGTGGAAGAAGTTGGCCACAGAATTGGAGAACTCATCCAGCCTCCTGAAGGTCCACTGCTCACCGGTGGCCTCGTAAATCAGGGCCACCTTCTCCGGGTGGCGCCGCACGACGTCCTGGAAGATCTTGGGAATGGTGCTCTTGGCTTTTTGGTGCTTCCTCAGCTTGTACTTGACTCGGAGCAGCACGGAGAGGCCACTGCAGGGGAGGAGAAGCATTAAGAAAAGGTCCATTTTCAGCCCAAATCCCTAATGAGAAGGGAGGTGGGTGGGACATGGGTGCTCCTCAAGCATCCTGGGGAGGGGCTTTGGCCAAGGGCAGGAGTGATGGGACCAGGGGGGATGGCTTGAAACTGGCAGAGGGAGCTGGAGGTTGGACCCAAGGAGGAAATTCTTGTCTGGGAGGGTGGGGAGAGCCTGGGCCAGGGAAGCTGTGGCTGCCCCATCCCTGGAAGTGACCAAGGGCAGGTTGGATGGGGCTTGGAGCAACCTGGGCTGGTGGGAGGTGGCCCTGCCCATGGTGGGGTTGGATCTAGATGAGCTTGGAGGTCCCTCCAACCCAAACCATCCCATGATTCTGTGGTAACTGCCCCCCACCAAACCCTTGTCCTCCAGCCCCTCAAGTGTCCTTCTTGTCTTGAGGAGCCCAGAACTGACCCCCAGGATTCAAGCTGCTCAAATCCTGGTGCCCTTTCCTGCCACCAGATCCCTCTGGATCCAGAAAGGACTGAAGTGACAAGGACAATCCAACCCTTTGATGAGGACCCGTGGCCACAGCTCCACGAGAACAAAACCCAACCCCTCCCCTTCCACCCACAAGGCAAGAGGATCAAGGCTCCTTTTCCTGTGAGTCACTCTCTGCCAGAGGAGGAAACAAAAATCTAACTATAAGGGGCAAAACCAGATTTGAATAACAATTAACAAACAATAATTAACAATTTTTGGATGGCAAGCTCCTTTAAAGGCGATAGTGCCTTTATCAAGGGCAGAACTGCTGCCCCTGGGGAGGTTTGATACCACCAAGAGCAACTGCTCAATAAAAGACCAAACCAGGCTGATCTCACTGGGCTTGGTTTTCATTTCCATAATTATCAGAGCCGCCTCGACGCCAATCTTGGCCATTCCCAACCAGAGCCCAACGAACTCGGGGCGACTCTCCATGAAGATGGCAATGACATCCCCCAGGTGGAAGCCTTCCTGGTGGAAGAAGTTGGCCACAGAATTGGAGAACTCATCCAGCCTCCTGAAGGTCCACTGCTCACCGGTGGCCTCGTAAATCAGGGCCACCTTCTCCGGGTGGCGCCGCACGACGTCCTGGAAGATCTTGGGAATGGTGCTCTTGGCTTTTTGGTGCTTCCTCAGCTTGTACTTGACTCGGAGCAGCACGGAGAGGCCACTGCAGGGGAGGAGAAGCATTAAGAAAAGGTCCATTTTCAGCCCAAATCCCTAATGAGAAGGGAGGTGGGTGGGACATGGGTGCTCCTCAAGCATCCTGGGGAGGGGCTTTGGCCAAGGGCAGGAGTGATGGGACCAGGGGGGATGGCTTGAAACTGGCAGAGGGAGCTGGAGGTTGGACCCAAGGAGGAAATTCTTGTCTGGGAGGGTGGGGAGAGCCTGGGCCAGGGAAGCTGTGGCTGCCCCATCCCTGGAAGTGTCCAAGGGCAGGTTGGATGGGGCTTGGAGCAACCTGGGCTCCTGGGAGGTGGCCCTGCCCATGATGGGGGTTGGATCTAGATGATCTTTGAGGTCCCTTTCCACCCAAACCATCCCATGATTCTGTGCCCCCCAAACCCTTGTCCTCCAGCCCCTCAATGTCCTTTTTGTCTTGAGGAGCCCAGAACTGACCCCCAGGATTCAAGCTGCTCAAATCCTGGTGCCCTTTCCTGCCACCAGATCCCTCTGGATCCAGAAAGGACTGAAGTGACAAGGACAATCCAACCCTTTGATGAGGACCCGTGGCCACAGCTCCACAAGAACAAAACCCAACCCCTCCCCTTCCACCCACAAGGCAAGAGGATCAAGGCTCCTTTTCCTGTGAGTCACTCTCTGCCAGAGGAGGAAACAAAAATCTAACTATAAGGGGCAAAACCAGATTTGAATAACAATTAACAAACAATAATTAACAATTTTTGGATGGCAAGCTCCTTTAAAGGCGATAGTGCCTTTATCAAGGGCAGAACTGCTGCCCCTGGGTGATAGTGCAGATAGTGCCCTTTATCAAGGGCAGAACTGCTGCCCCTGGGGAGGTTTGATACCACCAAGAGCAACTGCTCAATAAAAGACCAAACCAGGCTGATCTCACTGGGCTTGGTTTTCATTTCCATAATTATTTTCAGCCTCCAAGTGAAATTTGGTGCCTGAACTTCATCTGGTCTCACTTATGTTGTCCTGGAGTAAATTCCCTCCCAGGGGCTGTTGGTTCTCTCGCTGTATCACTTAGAAGTGAGAGATAAAAATACATTTATTAACATAACCTGCCATGAAACCATCACCAAAACGAGGGCACTGGGGAAATCAATCCAGTGTTTCTGGATATCCAGTGTTGGTTGTTTTTTTTTTTTCCTGGGAAATCCACTGTTTCCTTCCCAGGGGCAGGAAGATGGGAGCAGGATTTTGCCAGGACGAGAAGAGGAAACTGTTGTGCAACGAGAGGTTGGAAGGATCCCCAGAAACTTGAAAGGTCATTTAATATTAGCACTTCCAAACCCCTGCAGCTCTCCCCGGGGGGAATGTCCAAGCCCTGCAGAAGGGGGAAGGGAGAGAGAGCTCCAGAAACAAGTTGTTGGCACTGGAGAAGCTGACCTGCCACCAAACTGTGCCAAGCCCAGAACAGAGGAGCCTTTTCACTGCTGAGCTGAGCTTTCCAGACACTTAAAGAGCTTTATTCTCCCCAGTTTATTTTCTACCATTATTCCCAGCTTGCTGGGCAATTGGGAGGAAACAGCTCTTCAAAGCACAGTGCAAGTCCCAGCCAAGCTGGCAGGGACAGGAGCACTAAATCCTCTGGAATAAAAGCACAACCTCAAGGAGGCCCCAAAAACCAAGGAGCTGAATGAGATGGTGGCTCCCAGGAGATGGGGAAGAGCTGGAGCCTCCTGATCCCAGAGGAGGCCTTTTGAGGTGGACCTGCCCCCTCTTGGAGATCAGAGGTGGAAGGGTGGGCATTGTCCTGGGACTCCTTCCATGGGTGAAGGCTGCTGGGAGCTGTGGTGTCCATCCCACATCCCTTTGCTCCTTCCCTTTGATCCTCTCCAGGGCCTGGGGACAGGTAGGTGGCCAGCAGGTCCTGCCTGAGGCTCATCAGAGGATCCTGGAATGGTTTGGGCTGGAGGGATCTCACAGATCATCTAGATCCAACCCCCACCATGGGCAGGGACACCTCCCACCAGCCCAGGTTGCTCCAAGCCCCATCCAACCTGCCCTTGGACACTTCCAGGGATGG